ATGACATCCAGATATTTATAACGATTATCCATTGGAAAATCTTCAATTTTCACCATTTGATAAAGCTTCAATGCAGATTCGTTATCGATTCTTTTCGCGTGTATTGGGTATATTGTATACTGATCGTTAATATCCGAATGTTCAGTGATTTGTGTGAGAAAAGCCGTACGTTTTAAAACGGTTTGATCATTATTATTTTTGTTTTGCTGTACATTGTACAAATTCAATGCTGGTAATTCCTCAACCACCTCATTTATTTCGTCATTGTCGCTTTCCTCATCGACAATCCTATATTCTGTTTCCTGCAACTTATCCTTTAATAGATCATCAGATGACGCTGGAAGACGAATTTTTGAGTAATGAGGATTATTTTCTTTCAACCATTGTAAAGCCTTATACATTTTATTAATATCTACCAAATTTTCCCAAACCACTTTAGATTTCTTGGGTATACCTCGAACGAGAATGTGCAACTCGTGATTCAAATTTATAGGATCTTCCGGAGGACATACCTTATCCAATGTTTCTTGTAAAGGCAGAGGCAAATGAAATGTTCTACCTTTTCCTAAACAGAGTTCGATTATATAAGTTTCTTGATTTAAAATGTGCTATATTTAAATCATTTAATTATTTTTTTCGTTCAAGTACAATTAACAGCAAAAACTGCATATACGTAGGTATGTATTTGACTCTACTGCCATTACTTGAAACAAATACATTATTCGATATTAACAAATTGGAACTCTGGAATTACGAGTAATTATTTTTCATTGTACAGACTAGGTTTAAATTTTTGAGGACCTTCTTTTGAACATGGCTTGACCTTTTCATTTTTATGATTTTTTGAAGATAGGGTGAGAGAGGACGAATGAGGGTAAGAGAAGACGAGATAGGCGAAAGAGGGTGAAAGAGAACGAAAGAGGGTGAGAAAGGACGTACGAGGGTGAAAGAGGTGAGAGAGGGTGAGAGAGGACGAAAGAGGGTGAAAGAGGACGAAAGAGGTCGAAAGAGGGTGAAAGAGAACGAAAGAGGGTGAAGAGAGACGAAAGAGGGTGAGAGAGGACAAAAGAGTGTGAAAGAGGTCGAAAGAGGATGAGAGAGGGCAAAAGAGGGTGAGAAAGAATGAAAGAGGGTGAGAGAGGACGAAAGAGAGTGAAAAAAAGGTGAAAGAGGACGAAAGAGGGTAAAAGAGGGTGAGAAAGAATGAAAGAGGGTGAGAGAGGACGAAAGAGAGTGAAAGAGGACGAAAGAGGGTGAAAGATGAAAGAGGACGAATGAAAGAGGGTGAGAGGAATGAAAGAGGGTGAGAGGGAATGAAAGAGGGTGAAAGAGGACGAAAGAGGGTGTGAAAGAGGACGAAAGGGGGTTGAGAGGGAATGAAAGAGGGTGAAAGAGGGTGAGAGAGAATGAAAGAGGGTGAGAGAGGACGAAAGAGGGTGAAAGAGGCGAAAAAGGTGTGTGAAAAAAAGAAAAAAGACAAAAGGGGTGAAAAAAGAGGGCGAAAGAGGAGAAAAGAGGGCGAGAAGAGGGTGAAAGAGGACGAAAGAGGGTGAGGTAGGACGAAAGAGGGTGAAAGAGGACGAGAGAGGGTGAAAAAGGACGAAAGAGGGTGAAAGAGGACGAAAGAGAGTGAAAGAGGACGAAAGGGGGTGAGAGGGAATGAAAAGAGGGTGAAAGAGGGTGAGAGGGAATGAAAGAGGGTGAGAGAGGACGAAAGAGGGGGTGAAAGAGGCGAAAGAGGGTGAAAGAGGGTGAAAGAGGACGAAGAGGGTGAGAGGGAATAAAAGAGGGTGAAAAAGGCGTGAAAAGGGGAAAGAGGGGTGAGGGTGGGGGTGGGGGTGGGGGCGGGATGTGGGAGGGAAAGGGGTGGTGGGAGTTGAGGGAGGTGTGAGTGAAAGGTGAGAAGAGATTTATACGCGGACAGAGAAGAAGAAGAAGAAGAAGAAGAAGAAGAAGAGAAGACGACGTTTCTTAATTTTTCATGAAAAACGTCACTTTTTGACCGCTTGTATCTCCGAACGGCTTGACCGATTTTATTTTTCTTGGCTCAAATTACTCGTGGCGATGCCGCCTTTCAGGTTATGTTACGTGCAATTCAAAATTTTTTATATTTTAGTAGTTCTACACCCCCAAAAAATGGACTTTGATGGTGCAGGATAAGGAGACTTGTAGTGTCTTTTAAAGTCTTTTAGGGTTTGAACATGGCCGGAGACACTACCGCGTCTCCTGATAGCGTGCCACGACAGCGCGCCGCACACCGGTCAAGGAGGTAGAGAAATACGGCTCGGAGCAACGGTCCTTTAAACGTTCATAACTTCTTTACTTTTGCTCCGATCGACTTGAAATTTTGACTGAATATTCGAGATGTTGCGCATCATTTAAAAAAATTAAAAAAAATGCCCAAAAAATATTTTAAATAGCATATACCCCCCCCCCTTAAATAATATTTTCATCATAAAAAGCATAATTAACAAGGGTGCTCCGCTCCGGATCATTCGTTAGGAAACATACAAGTTAGAGAATAAGCACGCCTATAGCAAATATATTATTAACCTTAAAACTCTCATTCATAAATTAGGAGACTAAAAAATTCATATGCAATATACATTATATCCGTCGTACGTTCGAAGGTACTACCAAATAAGGATATCATAGTTCAACCATGAATATATAGGTATTTTATCTTGATTATGATTTTTCTATAATAAGCACCAATTTACATCTAGCTACAAGAGATGTATGTAAATTGAGTGTTAAACTTAGTCAGGGACAGTTGGCGAATAACCGATAAATCATATGTAGCCGCAGGCACGGTATAATAACACAAAATTTAATGCGTTATTCTCCATATGAGTTTTCATCAATTTACATGAAAATATGGAATATAAATGTAAATTGATAAGTTTTAACCCTCCATCGCGATTTCCAAATGATAGATATAAATATTAGGAAAATTTAGAAATCCGTTCTTGACGCGAGTTATCTATCAATTTGCATATAACTATGAAATGTGAATGTAAATTGATAAGTTTTATTTGTCCATCACAATTTTTAAATGATAGATATAAAATATTAGAAAAATTAGAAATTCGTTCCTGACGCGAGTTATCTATCAATTTACATATAACTATGGAATGTAAATGTAAATTGATAAGTTTTAACCCTCCATCGCGATTTCCAAATGATAGATATAAATATTAGGAAAAATTAGAAATCCGTTCCTGACGCGAGTTATCTATCAATTTACATATAACTATGGAATGTAAATGTAAATTGATAAGTTTTAACCCTCCATCGCGATTTCCAAATGATAGATATAAATATTAGGAAAAATTAGAAATCCGTTCCTGACGCGAGTTATCTATCAATTTACATATAACTATGAAATATAAATGTTGTTTAGGATTGAGAAAAATTTGCCGCGCTCGATCGAACGAAAATTCACGGATCAGTCGAGAATTTAAGTGAAAGCAATTGCCGCGGGCCTAACACGGCAGCACCTCGCGGCACGCACCGCGGGAAGCGCCGCGGAAGCAAATTTTCGGCCAATTAGCGCGTTCCGCGTGTACCCCTCGCGATCAGGCGGTCGATAGCGTGATCGATGAGGGTAGCATTCCGTCGGGGACAGTCGTCGCGGAGAGAGAGCCGGCGTTGGTCGCAAGTCAGACCAAAGAATTCGCGTTACGGTGTAATAAGTGCGTGAATGTATTATCGCGACAAATACGAACAGATTTGCGCGGTATTGTGTGACATATCGAGAGTGAAGAGTTAACGGGTAATCGGATCTCGTTCGCGACGCAACATACACGTTCTCGCGACGAATTCGCCATTGTCTCGTGCATGCTACGTGCACGTGATCGAACATTACGAGTATTCGGATCCTGCTGGAGGATTCACTGCGATATTCGCGTATCGGTGAATGCATGTCGTGCATTCTCTCTCTCGCTCGTCTCTCTCTCTCTCTCTCTCTCTCTCTCCCGCGCTCTCTCTCACAATTGTCGTAGTACGCCGTCGCGACGAACTCGCCGTCGTATTGTGCACGCTGCGTACACGTGATCGACTCCTGCGAATATTCGAATCCTTCTGGAGGATTCTGTGTGATAGTTAATTGCATATAAATGCACGTGATCGAACATTACGAATATTCGGATCCTGCTGGAGGATTGAATGTCACATAATTGAAGACAATTATTAAGTCGCGTCAAATCATATGTGCGCGTGTTCGATAAATTATAACGGTCGTCCACAAGAGGACAAATTTGTTGTTGTACGATTCGCGATCGTGACTTTCAAATAAGACATTGTTTTCTCTTGCGACAAAAAACATTGGTGTCGATATCGAACAAACAGTTTTTTCTTTTGTGATCGCGAGCTTCGAAACGTGTACAGCAAACGCTTTCGATTCTCATATCGAGTTTTTGTTCTTTTTTTCTTTGATTTGTTTGTGTCAAGTCCAGGTGACTTTCTGACATGTGAAATAATAAATTGATCTGTTTTTGTTCATCAACTTCAAGACTTCTTTTCAATTCGGCTTCCTACGTAAATCATCAATCTCAGCGCACACATGGGTGCGCGATCACCCTATTAAGATACAGTCCACTCAACAATTATCCTATTGTCCATCCATCACATCTCTCATGAGATTCCTATGATTTCTTTCCAATAAAAAAAAAAAAAACGGGTGAAGGATTTGAGAGGCGGCGCGCGAGACGCGGCCCTAAAAAGGCCGAGCATGCTCGTTCGCCGCAGCTTCGCGTCGGACCACGGTTCAAGCCGCGCGTTCGCAACATTTGGTCCTTCGAGCCGGATTTGAGATTGGTGACGAATTGAAAAGTGAAAAACTCAAGTAAAAAACACAGTGACATTGCAAGTACATTCAAAATCGGACATCATCAAACGCTATCAGTGCATTCAAAGAGAGTGACAGCTCGGTTCGTAAAAGACTAATTTGATTAAATTCAGTGTCGTTGAAACCTCAGTTGATTAAATTCAGTGTCAAAATGGAAGAAGCTCTCGCAAATCAACAAACTGCTTGCTATTCAGTTGCTCGAGCTCTCGACAATTTTAAGAAGATCGGTCGGTCAAATCTGACGGCCGCCAAAATTCGCTCGCGAATGACGAGCTTACAAGACACGTGGACACAATGTGTACGCAATCACGCGACACTGCTGCAGCTTGTTCCTGACGAGAAGCAAGTTTCAATTCACTACTTCAAAAAGGAGACCTTCGCCTTCCACGAGGACCTCTATCAGGCAGCTATGGACTACATGAACGAGTGCTTGGAGGAGCTGGTTCCAGTCGTAAGTCGTGAAACCTCTTTCAACGCTTCGTTCGCGCATACAGACTCTGCGTCATTATCGGTCAAACATCTTCCTCCCATCAAATTGCCGCCGTTCACCGGTAAGATTGAGGAGTGGGAGACTTTTCGCGATCGGTTTCAATCGCTTATTATAGACAATCGCGAATTATCGAACTTCAGTCGCATGCATTTTTTAGTGTCAAGTTTAACAGGCTCAGCTCGCGATGCGATATCAGGTATTAAAGTCACCGCGGATAACTTCTCGGTTGCGTGGAAAGCATTAACAGCGCGTTTTGAAAATAAGCGCCGATTAATTGAGACTCACATTTCGAATTTGTATAATCTTCCGAAAATGACTCGTGAGTCAGCTGTCGAGCTTCACGCCTTACGCGATAAAGCCGAACAAGCGATCTCAACATTGCAACGTCTTAATCGTTCGCCGGACGATATAGTCAGCGACATGTTAGTTTATTTTCTCTCTCAGAAGTTCGATCCCGCCACGCGCCGTGCGTGGAAGTTAAAAACGAGCGATATCGAAAATCCGCCAACATACAAAGAAGTATTAAAATTTATTTCGTCGCGTGCTCTCGCGTTAGAGGAACTTCACCCTCGCGATAACGACAAGACCAAGTCACATGCGAAAGTGACTAGCGCAACAGCGACTGCGTCATTTAATATAGTGTGTTCAATGTGCAAGCAATCGCACATTCTCTCAAAATGTCCGCAATTTGTAGCAAAGAGTCCGATTCAGCGACGCGAATTGGTTAAGAAATTTCGACGATGTTTTAATTGTTTGAGTGATAAACACATGTCGATCAATTGTCAAAGTAATTTCACATGTCGAACATGTAATAAACGACATCATTCTATGATTCATCTCGATTCGGACTCATTGCAACAAGTTACAAATGCGAACAATACGTCAAACGCGAATGACGTCATCGACAACGTGCCTAACGTTACGGCACTCTCATCAGTTACAATGACAACTGCGCCGACTCCTGTTGTCTTATCTACTGCAAAGGTGAATTTGCAGGCGCCTTCTGGACGCTCATTGGTTGTCAGAGCCTTGATTGACGGTGGATCAGAGCTCACGTTTGTGACGGAGCGCGTTGCTCAAATATTACGTCTCAAGCGTATACGAACGCTTACTTCAACGTCGGGAATAAGCTGCGCTGACACCGGTACATGCCGATCTGCGGCTCTGATTCACATCACTCCTCGCAAAAAATCGAAACCAAGGTTCACAACGGTTGCCTATATTATGAAGGCATTAACGAGGTATGCTCCCAGAAACGCTTCGCAATCGCAAGATTGGAAACATATTTCCAATCTGGAATTGGCTGACGATGATCCTACCGGATCAACACCGATTGATCTCATAATAGGATCCGATTTATATAATCACGTACTCGTTCACGTACGTAACGGACCGCTCGGTCAACCAGGTGCAATTGAATCGCATTTCGGATGGATCCTATCCGGAACAACCTCTATCCCGAATCACGTGACACAACCCTCTCATGTGGTAACTTCAACTCTCGTAATTCCGCCTGTTGAGGATGCGAGTCGCGTCGTGCAATCAGCTCAGTTAAATCAACGTTACAGTGTTGTCGCTCATTGTTGTTCTCTCGAAAATCAATTGTCTAAATTCTGGGAGGCAGAAGAAACACCTCAATCAATTGAAATGTCCCCAGATGACGAACAATGCGAAGAACATTTCAAACAAACGCATTCGAGAACATCGGATGGGAGATATATCGTGCGTCTGCCGTTTCGAAACGGCCCACCCATCGAAATCGGTGAATCTCGCGAAATAGCCGCGCGTCGGCTTTCGTCGTTACTTCGGAGAATTAATAATCAACCTGCGATTAAGCAGGAGTATGCTGAATTCATGAGCGAATACGCACAGTTGAATCATATGAAAGTAATCGCACCGGTGGATTCAGTAAATTCACAAGTCGTGTACATCCCTCATCATCCGGTCATTCGAGAGACTAGTTCGACAACTCGGTTGAGAGTCGTATTTGACGCCTCATGCACAACCTCTAACGGTACCTCGCTCAATTCTCACATGTTTACTGGGCCTAAACTACAGTTAGATCTGCAATCGGTTTTATTACGTTGGCGACAGCACAAATACGTTTACTCCGCAGACATAGCGAAAATGTATAGACAAATATTGGTCGACTCGCGAGATAGAGATTATCAACGCATCCTATGGATAGATGAAAATTCGAATATTCAAGAACATCAACTCCTTACGGTAACATACGGTACGGCTTCCGCACCGTTTTTAGCTCTTCGAGTCATTAATCAGTTAAACGATGATGAAGGAAGCTCGTTTCCACTAGCATCTGCGGTTTTAAGCGAGAACGTCTATGTGGACGACGTGCTGTTTGGGGCCGAAGATATGCCTCTCCTTAAACAGACTCGAGATCAAGTTTGCAAATTGTTGAAACGCGGTGGATTCGATCTTCGCAAATGGGCGAGTAACAAACCGGAGTTGCTCTCAGATATTTCATCGGATCATCACGGGCTCGCACAGCTTAAATTATTCGAGACTGACAACAATCTGAAGGTTCTCGGTATTTTTTGGAATCCGACGCACGATTGTTTCCAGTTTCAAATTGAATTACCACAGACTCTCCCTTCTACAAAACGAACGATTCTCTCTACCATAGCCAGAATATTCGATCCACTTGGATGGGTCACACCCGTGGTTCTCAAAGCGAAAGTTTTTATGCAGAAATTATGGCGACACAAAGTAGGCTGGGACGACAATCTCTCAGAAGATCTCCTTTTACAATGGAGCGTGATTTATAAATCACTTCCTTACATCAAAAGCATAAAACTTAGTCGCTGGATTGGATGCGATTCAGATACCAAGAGCATCGAGTTACACGGTTTCGCGGATGCTTCCCAAGTAGCTTACGCCGCAGTAGTTTTTTTGAGAGTCACAACATTATCCGGTCATACAACTGTTTCGCTCCTCGCTGGGCGATCCAAAGTCGCGCCTATCAAACCGCTGACAATCCTCGATTAGAATTGTCAGCTGCGGTCTTATTAGCGCGCCTAATTGAATTCATCAGAAAATCTCTTCATTTCACGAAAATGCCAGTCCATTGTTGGACAGATTCGAGTATTGTGCTTGCTTGGTTAAACAAGCACCCATCTCATTGGAAAACTTTCGTCTCGCATCGCGTAACAGAGATTCAAACACGAGTATCTGATGGCATTTGGCATCATGTCAGTACACATGAAAATCCCGCTGACTGTGCATCTCGCGGTTTACTCGGCACAGAATTAAGCGCCTTCGACATTTGGTGGCGCGGACCTTCATGGTTGAGTCTTAAACAGGATGATTGGCCCACATTCACAATAACGCCGATAGACGAAACACAGTTAGAAGAAAAACCGTGTCAAGTGCATCAAGTGAACGCTAATGAACCGTGGAATCTCACTACTCGATATTCATGGTGGCCAAAATTAATACGTATTACCGCCTACATTTACCGTTTCATAAGGAAGTGTAGAAAGAAACACACAATAGGATCGAACAACAAGTCTCAATATCACGCTCTTACTACAGTTGAATTCAACGAAGCACGAAACTTCTGGCTGAACTTCATTCAGTTAGAACTATTCGAAAACGAGCTCCATAATTTAAAGTCAAACAAACCGTTGCCTACTCACAGTCCAATTCTCTCATTAAATCCGTTCCTGGATTCTGACGGTCTAATTCGCGTTGGGGGGCGATTAGAACACTCGTCATTATCTTTCCAGTCCAAGCATCCAATCTTATTAGCCAACCATACGATCACTACCATGATCATCCGTTATACGCATGTTGTATCTCTCCATGCCGGTCTTCAATCCACTCTTTCAAAACTTAGACAAGAGTTTTGGATTTTGAGAGCAAGAAGTCTAGTAAAGTCGGTTATTTATAAATGTGTTCCGTGTACAAGAGAAAAGGCTCAAGTAGCTAGTCAGCTGATGGGCCAGCTACCTACAAGTCGTGTTTCGGCGCCCTCTCGAGCGTTTCTACATAGCGGTGTCGACTACGCCGGACCAGTCTTTACACGTGCTTCAGCCGGCCGAGGAATTACCTCGCGAAAGGCCTACATAGCACTCTTTATTTGTTTAGCCACACGCGCTATTCATCTCGAACTGGTTAGTGATTACTCGACTGCTGCCTTTCTTAACGCTTTTCAAAGATTTTGTGCGCGACGTGGATTACCAGAGGTCATGTACTCGGACAATGGTACTACGTTCGCAGGAGCAGACAAGGAGTTGTCGCAAGCGTATCGAGACGCTCAAAGCGATGTTAACTTTCTCAACTTTATCGTGTCAGATAACATCACATGGAGTTTTATCCCTCCCCATGCTCCACACTTCGGTGGATTGTGGGAGGCAGGGGTCAAAAGCGTTAAATACCACCTTCGTAGGATATTAGGAAATCACACCCTCACTTTCGAGGAACTTACTACCGTGCTTTGTAAAGTTGAAGCATGCTTAAATTCAAGGCCCCTGTGCCCATTGACTGATTCGATTGACGATTTTGAAGTGCTCACTCCGGGTCACTTTTTGATTGGATCGGCAATCACAATCAATCCAGAACCTTCTGTTCTGCAAATCAATGAAAACAGACTGTCACGGTGGCAGTTGTTGCGACAGATCACGGAGCGTTTTTGGAAGCATTGGCACGCCGACTATATTAACACGCTTCAACAGCGAACTAAGTGGCGAAAGGCAAAGTCACTTATCCATATCGGTTCCATGGTTCTGATTCAAAATCCTCTTCTTCCTCCTTGCAAATGGGAACTCGGACGCGTAATCCACTGTCAACCAGGCTCTGACGGATTAATTCGAGTAGTTTCCGTCAAAACAGCGAACTCGGAATATAAGCGTCCCATAACTAAGTTATGTGTGCTTCCAATCGACGTTGATTCTGACGATTCCATCGAGGATCAACCTCGAGTGTCAAGCAATTAGCGATAATTCTAGTGTAAGTTAATTATACGATTCTAATTCTAATTACGTTATAATTTATGTAGCAAGTAAGTCAAGTTTATGTTCATTAGTTAAGTCAAAGCGTGCAAGTAAAGTCGCCAAGGCGGGCGGCGCTTGCAATCCTAAGTTTAAGGTCGTGCGAATTAGTACGAACAGCGGATACTGTTGTTTACGCGATCTGCGTTAAATGTTAAAATCCGTCCGCGATAACAACAGTGATCTTTAGAAGTCAACTTTAAGTCAATATTGTCAGCCGTTTCAGGTCTACAATTTCACTTTAGTGCGATCTGAGCGTAATCAGAAGTTACATCTCAGTATCTTATATATTGCATGGGATCAATCGTGACGAACAATCACACGCAATTAGTTTTCATTTAGCAAACCTCACTCACACGGGAGTGAACGATGCATCCTTGTGTAAGGTATACCGCGAGATCGAGTAGTTTCGAAATTCAAATTTCGAGGCGGGCGGTATGTTTAGGATTGAGAAAAATTTGCCGCGCTCGATCGAACGAAAATTCACGGATCAGTCGAGAATTTAAGTGAAAGCAATTGCCGCGGGCCTAACACGGCAGCACCTCGCGGCACGCACCGCGGGAAGCGCCGCGGAAGCAAATTTTCGGCCAATTAGCGCGTTCCGCGTGTACCCCTCGCGATCAGGCGGTCGATAGCGTGATCGATGAGGGTAGCATTCCGTCGGGGACAGTCGTCGCGGAGAGAGAGCCGGCGTTGGTCGCAAGTCAGACCAAAGAATTCGCGTTACGGTGTAATAAGTGCGTGAATGTATTATCGCGACAAATACGAACAGATTTGCGCGGTATTGTGTGACATATCGAGAGTGAAGAGTTAACGGGTAATCGGATCTCGTTCGCGACGCAACATACACGTTCTCGCGACGAATTCGCCATTGTCTCGTGCATGCTACGTGCACGTGATCGAACATTACGAGTATTCGGATCCTGCTGGAGGATTCACTGCGATATTCGCGTATCGGTGAATGCATGTCGTGCATTCTCTCTCTCGCTCTCTCTCTCTCTCTCTCTCTCCCGCGCTCTCTCTCACAATTGTCGTAGTACGCCGTCGCGACGAACTCGCCGTCGTATTGTGCACGCTGCGTACACGTGATCGACTCCTGCGAATATTCGAATCCTTCTGGAGGATTCTGTGTGATAGTTAATTGCATATAAATGCACGTGATCGAACATTACGAATATTCGGATCCTGCTGGAGGATTGAATGTCACATAATTGAAGACAATTATTAAGTCGCGTCAAATCATATGTGCGCGTGTTCGATAAATTATAACGGTCGTCCACAAGAGGACAAATTTGTTGTTGTACGATTCGCGATCGTGACTTTCAAATAAGACATTGTTTTCTCTTGCGACAAAAAACATTGGTGTCGATATCGAACAAACAGTTTTTTCTTTTGTGATCGCGAGCTTCGAAACGTGTACAGCAAACGCTTTCGATTCTCATATCGAGTTTTTGTTCTTTTTTTCTTTGATTTGTTTGTGTCAAGTCCAGGTGACTTTCTGACATGTGAAATAATAAATTGATCTGTTTTTGTTCATCAACTTCAAGACTTCTTTTCAATTCGGCTTCCTACGTAAATCATCAATCTCAGCGCACACATGGGTGCGCGATCACCCTATTAAGATACAGTCCACTCAACAATTATCCTATTGTCCATCCATCACATCTCTCATGAGATTCCTATGATTTCTTTCCAATAAAAAAAAAAAAAAACGGGTGAAGGATTTGAGAGGCGGCGCGCGAGACGCGGCCCTAAAAAGGCCGAGCATGCTCGTTCGCCGCAGCTTCGCGTCGGACCACGGTTCAAGCCGCGCGTTCGCAACAAATGTAAATTGATAAATTTTACTTGTCTATCATGATTATTTTAATCCATAACAAAAATTTACGAAGTAATACGTTTTATTTAAATCGCAAAAAGAATAGACATATTCTAAAGAATAATACCTAAAATATATAGATATCGTTTGTAAAGTAGTAATTAGGTATGAAACCCGCTTTATTATGTGAACTCGGCTTTACTCTCAAGAAACATCTAGAAGATTCTAGAAGGTTCTAGAAAGACGGTTGAGAATCGTTACATTCCAGAAGCATGATGCAATGCATGATGCAACGCTGAAACACGTTGCAACCTGCAAACCATTATAGAAGGACCGTTAAGAAATATCACTACCAAGAATAAGATAAGGAAGGCCCGTTGCAAGCCGCATAGCGGTGAGTCACCAAAGAAGCACCGCTATCGCTACTAAGAATACGATAAGGAAAGTCGGAGAGCATAGCGATGAGTCATCAAAGAAAACACCGCTATCACTACCGAGAATAAAAGACGGTTGAAAATCGCTAGCGATGAGTCATCAAAGGAACACCGCTATCGCTACTGAGAAGCCATCTCTCCGGGACTTAACCGTCGCAATCTCTACCAGGAACAGATTGTCTCCAGTACTTCCCCGGCATATCTCTCTTACCATTGGATTAGCCTCATCACCCGATGGGAGGAGCGAGCCACATTTTACGGTATATAAACCCTGCACCCGGCACGGAACGGCAGTGATTCGCCGAAAGTTGTTCCGCCAGCACAGTCAAGTTCAGTACTTCTAACAACAGTCAGCTAACCAGCCATTACTACGGGGTTCCGAAGACAACGAGACATAGCCGCCATTTCAGACCGAGGTACCGAGGCTCCTCAGATCTTCAGACTCAGAGGGAAGAACACAGTAGCGAAGTGTACCACAGCAAAGCACATTAGACATAGTCTAACCTTGTGAGTATTTAAGCCAGGATGCGTATTAAGGTTGATAGAAAATTGGTACCTTGATCGGTAAGGATAGCTTTGGGAGTTCCATAAATGCAAATAAATTCTTTTGTAAAAGCGTCGGCTATCGTTAATGAAGTGGCTTCTTTTAATGGTACAGCTATGAAGTATTTTGTTAATAAATCTTGCATGGTTAAAATATATTTATTTCCGTTATTCGTGATAGGAAATGGCCCTACTATGTCTAGT